AGGAAATAGACAGAACGTCCGAAATGTCGCCTCAGAAGGGCCTGTTCTCAAGATGGGTCGTGAAAGAGAAAGAAGCTGACTTCTGAGGTGCCCTGATTGTCTGAAAAGATGGCGTAGTCACACCTGCTCCCTCAGAGGACAGGCGTGGTGAGAGTTGAAACAATTCTGTCCCGTCCCAGGGCGTAAACTCCTGTTCCAGGAAAACAATAGGACAGATACATGTTGCCCACAAAAAGTAATCCTCCCATTCAGGAGATTTTTAAATGGAACCAGCCAGCTACCTCACATGAGGAAGTTCCTGTGTGTTGCCTGATTCACTGAAAGGAAGGGCGATCTTAATTTTCTTAAGAAACCACGCAGCTTCGGAAGAGTCTGAACTCTGCACTGGGAACGAGTCGGAATTGTTCTCACAGCTTCTCTTTCTCCACCTAACGCTTCTCAAGGCTGCTTGTTACCTGCTTCTTGTTCGTGGGGAAATCTGTAGGTTAAGACCCAAAATATTGGAGCGTAATTGGGTTATAGATGTGTTTATGGTCTGTATTTGTCAGAGAAGGTAGCCAAGCCAGGGGAGTGGTTTCCAAACCCAAGGACCACCCCATGTGGAAAGACAGAGCTCCCATCATGTGCAATGATAGGGCTCACCTCCTGTGTGCAAAGACAGGGTGCTACCTCGCATGTGCAAAGACAGGATTCACCTCGTGTGCAACGACAGGGCTCCCCTGCATGTGCCGACACAGGGCTCCCCTCGTGTGCAAAGACAGGGCTCTGTGCTGCCACACCTGCGCTTACTCTTCAGGATGGTCCATCATGATTTATTTCACTTGTTTATGCATCGATAAAATACTTATTTGAACAGAGCATTTCAGGACTAAAAGAAAGGTGAGGAAACCACTGGTCTGGCAGCTGAGAGGCTGAGCAGGTGGGGCAGGCGGTGGAGGCGAAAAGCTGTGGGAGGTCGTGCTGTGGGGCGTGGCAGGGGCGTCGAGGCCAGAGTCATGAAGACATGGCGCTCTTGGAAAAACTGGGGGTTCATATAAAAATGGGGACTTTCAGGGATGAGGACAGGACTTGGAACATGGCCAGGATGGTCTGAAGCCGGAAAGCGATGACCCAGGGCTGGTGGCTGAGGGAGAGAAAGCACAGAGCCAGGAAATTCTCACGCTGCGCCTGCTCAGGAAAGAGCACAGGCTGCAGTCTGCCGTTCGTAGATGAGCAGGCAAAGTAGAGATGCCAAGAAAAGGAGGCAGGACAGGTCCTTGTTCACAGGGAGCTTGTGTCCCATGGGGGGAGGTGGACAGGAATACGGTACATGCACGGAGCAGGTTATGAGGGAAGTGAAAGTAGACAACGTGATTCAAGGCGAGTGACGGGGTTAGGAGGAGGGGATAATTTGGAAGTAACTTGCTTTGGTTTTAAAAGATTGCTCTGACTGCTGCCTGGTTGACCTGACAGAGCAAATCTTGGGAGGGAGACTGCTGGCCTCGTCCTGCCCTCTGGGCGCCTGGTGGCTGGTCAGCAGAGCCCCACCCGGTGCAGGCATCTGCATGCAGGCGTCTGCATTTAACAAAACACAAGGGGGCTTAGTTGGCGGACATGTCAGCACTCGCCTCGTCGTGGTGGCACTGACGAGAGCTTTCTGAGATCCGTGGACCAGTTTGTAAACAGAAGTCCGTGCAGCCTCCTGAACACGTGCAATGGACCCTAGATGCTCTGCATGAGTCCCCCTCCTTGGCAGCTGGTGACAACCCCAGGAGTCCCCACACGGGTCGAGGGGTCCTCTGTCCCGCGTGTCCCCCGCCCCAGAGTCCTGCTCGGATTGGGCCATTCTCGTCTCCAGCCCTGTGAACAGCTGTGTGCTTCTTGTCTGTGGCCCCTTTGGGGAGCAAGTCTCTTCCTGTGGCAGCTGTCTGCTCCCTGACATGCTGCTCAAACTGGGAAAAATTCCATGCCTTTTTGATAGGAACTCCTCTCTCCTGCTTGGCGCCCCCTGTGTGTTCCCTCGGGAAACCTCCTGGGTGGCATTATTGAATATCCCCCTGCATCTGCACAGCTCAGTCACTTCATGCTCTACCTTACGTCATTTTCTTCCCAAAAAGCAGAAGGCAGAAAGTGGGTATCAGCTGGGGGTCCTGAAACAGACTCTTTGGAACTGAAACCCCTGACCCATAGATTATTGTCACACTAAGGAACCCACGCGTCAGCTGTCTAACTGGAAAGCTGTCTGCTCTTCCTGAGTCTGGCTGTCAGTCATTAACAAAGACGGTAAAGTCTAAAGGACAATAGTCAAACAGCATTGCTCTCTTCCTATTCGGCAACTCCACCAAATATCAGCTTTCGTCCAAGAAGGAGGAGCCCGGTTTCTGAACAGAGTCGATGTACAAACGTCATAGCTTGATCCTGCAAAATGAAGGTAGTTTTCATCAAAGAAACAATTCGTGGTCTCAGGTTTTGGCAGATTCCATCTCACTGATACTGTGTAATTTAAAAACTCACAAAACTGCTGTTATGGATTTTACCCAACCATTTAAGGCCAATTATCGTCTTTGAACCTGCTATTATAAGTATTGGGATTTACGGTGTTTTATTTTTAAAGGAAAGGCTGGTTAGATATCTAGGTGGATTCTTTTTCACGTAAAGGATTCACTAGGTGAAGGCGTCAACAAGGCTGCCTTGTGACGATCGAAAACATGGCCGACCTGGCCCTTGTCCTGGTAATTCTCAGTGACCAAAATAAAAACTGAATTTCAATTTTAAAAATATCATGGCCAATGTACTATTTAAGTGTTAAAATATGTGTTGATTACTTTCTCCCCAAATCATGACAATTCCTATCATTTGGCATTTTATATTTCTAGAAGTATCTCAAGGAAGAAAATTAAAACCTTACGGTAGAATCATATCTTGTAAAATGCATTTAACAGCAGCAGCGAGCTTGGGCTCTGACAGCTGCTAGATAAATTTGGAAGCCAGGAAAGATAGTCAAGATAGAAGGCGCATGTTTTAATCAGACGCACTGGAATAGTTGCCAGGTAATGGGGCTCATCAGAGGTTGCGGTGTATTCCGTGTAGCAGTGTTAAATATTCGAGCGTCCCAGAAGCTGGCGATAGCATGTGCTCCCAGTTTTCTGGGAAACTTGACCAGCTCAGCAGACGAGAAGCATTGTCCAAATTCTCGTGCTTGCCAATGCCAAGTTCTAAGTCTTTAAGTCCATCTGTAAAGATAAAGATGCTGGAGTAGACCCGGTTTGCAGAGTCGACAAAGTGTAGGAGAGCATTCCTGTTGCTGTTTTCTCAGCTCATTAACAAAAAAGCATCCCACAGAGTGAAAAAAACATCTCAGTAGGTTGATATTGGAAAACTCAAATTACCATTTCCTTCATAGTCAGGAGTAATTCCCTGCTGAATGCAGAAGAATTTATATAATTTGGAGTACAGTTAATTCAAAACACTGCGTGCTTGCGCTTTGCAATAGCGCATCCCAGGAGGTATGAACTCAGACATATTTGTTTACTTCAAAGTGGAGCAAGAATTCTGATTACCTTTTAATAGGAAAAGAATGGAGCTGACGAGCATATCAGAAGACACCCTTTTATTCCTGTTACCTTAGGGATTAGGTTTTTAGTACAGACTCACAGCTGAAAAATAGCTGGTTCTGAGAGGAGCAGACGCACGGATAGCGATGGGAGCTGACAGCCCAGCGTCCGGGGTGTCCATGAGGGAGGAACCGTCTCCCAGGCTGCTCACTGACATGTAGTAAAGGTCACGGAAGGCCAGGCTCTAACCCTCCCTATAGATTGTCCTCGTGGCTTTCAAGTTGATGGTGACTGTGCCCTTGCTTAGGGTCTTGCTTGATGCATGTTTTCATTTTCCTTAACTTTTACGTTTGACCCTCCTGATGAGTCACAGTAGATTCAGCTGTGCCTCGGCGTTCCCGGCAAATGTGAGCCTGCCCTGCTCGCTGATAGTTGGTTAACAAGGATTTAAAACCCTCCTGAAGCCGTGGCAGTGCTAAGCACTGGATAGCCTTCCTTCCTGTTGGCCCTGTGAGCCAGTTTCAGAAGCATAGAGGTGCAGCCCAGCTTCCTGCTCACGCCTGCTTGTCGTCAGGCTGGTGTTGGGAGCTTGAGTTTTCAGTAAAGTTTAATGAGGTGGCGCCATAGTTTATTCTGATTGCCGAGGGACGATAATGGCCGGATGGCAATGGGCTGAGATTTGGGAAAGTGGTTCTCAGTTCCCTGGGGTCCCAGCTTCTCCAAACTGGAGTAAGGCAGTTGTGTATTCTGTAAAAGGTCAATGATATGACAAATTTATAGCTTATTTTCACAAAGTTAAAATCTATGTGAAGATAAAATGGAAAGAATTTGAGTTCTTAGAAGAAAACTGGTATCCAAATGTATGGTATCTTAGAGAGAAATTTCCCAGTAAAGGGGGCCAGCTACGCCATTGACTAAAACCCACAGCCTTGTGTTGGAGGAGCTCATGAGAACAGTCTCATAGAAAAACATGCTTGGCCAGAGGAGACAGATAGGAAGATGTCCCAATAATAGATGAGTCTGTGGCTGTCTCCGCAGGAGTAGCTGAAAAAATATATACGTAAGCAAAGAAAACCCAAGAAAAGAGAAATTTGGTCAAGAAAGTCATTATTTTTTTAAGAAAAAAATACTAGGTTACTGCTTACCAAGTGTTTTGCAACTGCAATTTTTTTAAGGCAATTTAAAATAATGACTAAAAATTGGAAATTATAAAACCTTGTAACTAAATGGCTATAAATTACTTAGTACTTTCAAAGTGATCCTTTATTGTTCTGCTCTGATGCAAAAACATGGACTTTCTAAGACCCTGTGCAGGTTATTTCCATTAGGATTTAGGAGAGGATTTCTATTTTATTTTGCTTTATCTTTTACCAAATTAATATTGAGTTGAAAATAAATTTAAGTTAAAGCACCATGCTGGATATTCAGCAGGTTCTCCAGCAATTTTGTGTTATTTATTTCTTGCAGGCTTGTACAGCATATGTGGATTTTATGATTTCTGTGGCCAAATTGATTCGTCAGGAAAAAGGACTGCCCATCGATGAAAACCAGCTTTCTTCAGAAATGAATAAAGTCATGGAATTGGAAAAAGAAATTGCCAACGTAAGATGCATTTTCTCTAATACACTGAATAATGCTGACCACTTTTTTTTCTTTCTCTTCTCTGTCATCTTTTGAGGGTAAAAAGTGCAACTCCTTAACCAAGTGCTAAAGTCGTAGCTCAGTAATGGATCATTGACTTCAAGCGGACCTTTGAAACTGCAGAATTTTACAGTGAACCGGGCTCCTGACGCCAGGAGACGTGCCCAGTTTGACAAACATTAAACTCAGTAGACTTAATTACCTGTTGTAAGTGGACTGCATCAAAATCCTGACTATTTACAGTCAAACTGTTGTTGAGACACAGGACAAGCTTGATTGCCAGCTATTCAGCAGAGCTGCTTTAGTCTTGATATGTACAATTGCACTGTAAGTTTCAGGTGATCGCAGAGATTGTCTCTATCCCTTTGCTAAGAAGGATGAGCCCCTGAGCCTGGCCACATGACAGTGCAGTGTCCCCGGGTTCAGACTCAGGCTGCTGAGCTCGACAGAGATCCCACAGGAGTTTAGCAGCAAAGTCCAAGGGCTGCATTCCTGAGTTCCCTCCAGCTCCACATAGACCCTTGGAGTCTGAGTTGGCGCTCGCTTGCCTGATGCTCCTCTGACGGGGTCTCTGGTCTCAAGCGAATTAGTGCTGTCTAAGCAGCATCCGGGTTGCTGATTGAGCCCACAGCCGGTGCAGTCTCAGATCCACAGAGTTCTCTCCGACATGCGAAAGCAGCCAGCAGTCCCGAATCCCCATCTGCTTACCACTCAGAACCTTGAAGACTGAAGATCTTTGAGGGCAATTTTAGCTTCCCTCGGGCTATGTGAAACCAAAAATCTCCACTCAGAACCAGACTTTGCTCAGGGCTGCAGCTGGATGAATGGCAGTTTGACGAGTTGCATATGGTTCTGTTTTGGAAACAGAATTGCAGAGAACAGTCCATTCCCTGGGTTTTACCACTCATACCCCCAACACCTGCTCCCCCTTGATCAGCCTCAGCCTGCAGCACTGTCTTAGCTCAGCATTGTTTGTGTCTGAATTTTCTCTCCTCTCTCTGACTCAGGTGGAGCTGGATCTTTGCCGTCTTTGAGTCACCTATGCATCTTTAACGGTGTCCCGCATATTATTGCATGCAGGATATGCTCAATAAATAATTTTTTAAATAAATGAATAAATAAGTGACCTAAAGGGGAAATTGTAGCCTTTGTCAGTTGAGAAATAATTCCCACTTTAAACTTTGTCTTTTGTCTCTTTTTCACTTAAAATTGCTTTTTACTCATTTCAACCACTAGTTGGGGAGTTGTTCTTGTGATTTTCCTTTCTTGGTTCATCGAAAAAGTAGAATTGGGTGCTGTGGAGTGTGGAGCAGTAGCAGGCTGGCAGGATAGGGGCACAGCCACACGCAGGGCATGCCAGCATCTCCTCCGACAACTTGCAGCCAGCCTGTGCTGCGTGCTAGGAATTTTCTCTCTCTTACTTGCTTTAAATTCTTGCAGAAACCATTGCATGGCTTTTTTTTTTTCCTGTCTGAATTTTTGGTGGGACACTGAATGGTGCTTGCGGGGGGGGGGGGGGGGGCGGTGCGGAGACAGAGCATTTGAGAGAGAAATTGGAGATAACGATACTCAAGTAAGTTATTTATAATATGAAACAGCCACCGACACAACGGAGCTGGCCTTTAGCCATAGAAGGAAAGAGGCCTGCAGATATTGCTTATGTGGTTTGGCAGTTATCAAAATATAAAAAGAATTTAGAAGAATTTTGTAATTTGATCATTGTTACTGAATACACTTAAAATCTCTTATATTTCACTTTTCTTCTTGATACGACAGAATAAGTTACAAAGCAAGTACAGAATAAAACTTAAATACAATTATGTTACATCTATCCTATATTTCTTCTTTTCCTCATATTTGCTTATATTTTTCTAAGTAATTCTTAGTTCTAAAATAATGATCAAAAATTAAATCCGTAGGCTACAGCTAAACCTGAAGATCGAAATGATCCAATACTTCTTTACAACAAAATGACGTTAGCCCAGATCCAAAGTAACTTTTCACTAGAGATCAACGGGAAGGTAAGTGGCAAGTTTTATGTATCTCTTGTTCCATTTCCAAAATTATAACATTGAAATACAGTTTATTAAAATTCGATGATTTTTTTATTTATTGAAATAAATTGAAGTACAAAATGAATGTAGGTGACACCAACCATTTGACTTCATGACAAGACCTGGGAAAAAAACCCTCTATTTGAAATCATTTTATTTATATTTAGTTAGAGTGAATTTCAAAGGCGAAAGTCTTTTCAAGGCTGCTGTGCAATAATATTAGAAACTATCATCAAAAAGGGTTTGAACAACATTAAAACTGAAAATCCTTCTGGAAGACCATTGTATAGGCAGACACTTGGACAGTCAAATAATAAAAGCACTAGGTTTCTTTTTAACTCCTGAAAAGAATAATTGATTCATAAAACTTGCCGTGTTATCATCAAGGCCATGTGTGGAGGTGTTCAGAGCAATAATGGGGAGATAGAACGCAAGAGATAAGAAAAACTCACCCCATAGATTCCACTTATCAGCAGTTGACATCTTTTTTCTTGGTTGTAATTCACTAGCTGATGTCTAATAATCTCCTCTTGGGGCCGTGCGTCTTTTCTCCTGTGTTAGTTGATGCGCACGATTGGGAAATGAAGCAACATTCATGGGAAAATCTACAAACCACCACATTAAGTGATGGAATTCTCTTTGGCACTAATTACAGTAAACAAGGACTTTTCAAAGGCATGACCTGTTGAGTTAGGAGTTTCTCACCTGGAACTTTTTAATATAATGAGTGTTTAATGAATATGTTTTGAAAGAACGGTTCAAACCACCAAAGGAAATCAGGAAAAGTACATAGCACCTCATTCTTAGCAAGTGATCGTATACTTACAAGTATATGTATATACAAATATATATAAAATCATAGAGCCTAAGATATTGGTAATCTTAAATATTCTCAAACACTGAAATGTGGCATTTCAGCAAGATTTGCATAATCTCCGCTTCTGCTTTCTTTTCTTTTATCCACTGGTGGTTGAATAACTAAAATTCCCATTTAAAGAATAATAGAAAGACAAGATTCCTCCTTTAGGCAAATCTAAATGTAGCTTCTGATGTGTAAAAACTGCATGCCTGTGGACTCAGTATTGATAGTGAAATGTGGTTTGGCTTCCTTGCTGTGCCTTTGCTGTGACAATCGTGTGCTTAAATTTACAGCAGGAGCTCCACTGGGATGGAGGACGTGCTCGAATGGATTGTAACTAATATCCGCTTCTAAAAGATGAACACTTTATACCCATTTAGATTTTTGCATACACCTAGGAAGCTTTCTTTTTAAGGCTGAGTTCTCTTTTCTTCTTTCTTTAAAATTGGTCAGACGAAAAAAATGGCACTGGCTTAATTTCTGGTGCATGTTGTCTCCACTTAGAGACTTGGCTTCTGCTCTTAAATGGTTATGTTAATTCTGCTATCTAAATAATCATGCTGCAGAACTAACTTTCATTCAAAAACTGATTGAAGAAATTGAGAAAAAAAAAACCCAAAAAATCAAACTGACCATTTTTATAATCATAGAGTGATGCAACTGGTGTCTTAACCACGTCTGACCCTGTTAACCATAACTGAGTCTTGGAACCAAGCAGAAAAATCCATAATTATTGAATATTTTCTGCCTGCTTTTTTCCAGCCATTCAGCTGGGCAAATTTCACAAATGAAATCATGTCAACTGTGAATATTAATATTCCAAATGAGGAAGATGTGGTTGTTTATGCTCCAGAATATTTAACCAAACTTAAGCTCATTCTTACCAAATACTCTGCCAGGTGGGTATGTCAGAAAACTCATGTCGTCAAAGTTTGCATTTAATATCACTCTTGAGAAGCTTTGCAGCCTCATCTTTTCTGTTGCTGGGTGGTGGGTTTTTTTATACAGAGATCTTCAAAATTTAATGTCCTGGCGGTTCATAATGGATCTTGTAAGCAGCCTCAGCCGAACCTACAAGGAGTCCAGAAATGCTTTCCGCAAGGTGAAGAAAAAATCTCTCTTTTTCTTAAGACTTGAAGGGTAAAGAGATACATGGTTATGAAGGCTTGCCATGTACGCTGCTAGGATGTGGTGAACTTTGCCAAGAGACAAAATGCCGAATGTTGGTTGTTCTGCACGTGTCTAAGCTGTGTCACCTAGGACAGCCTGTCCTCATGGGCTTCACCACCCGGTGATGTCCACCCTGCCACCAGGACTGAACTGCCCTTGAAGGAGATGCGTTTGATTAATTTGAGCGGTTCGTGAAAGAGTACTGGCTTGGTTTTTTGTTGTGTTAAAAGTAATTGCAGGGGTATCTATCTCAATTAATTTGATTTTCAGGTGCTCATAGCACAGTAGATATACAGATGGATGGACGACATTGGTGTGGACAGTGCCCTGAGAATGCACCTCCCTGGACACACCTGGAGGCCTTTTATTGGCTGTACCTGCATGATCCTTCCCCTCCTGTTGTGAGAGGGGAAGGCAGGAAGAATTGAGGAAGGAGGAATTCTGGCAAACGTATTGGTTGGTGTCAGGGAAAGGAAATAACCCTCTGATTAAAATTTTTAGTTTTTACCCATTAAAAGAAAGTGCAGACACATTTTTAAAATTAAAGAATGTAAAAATGATGCTTTGCTAAATTTCCCTTACGTAAGTTAATCCCCTTATCGGTACTTAAATTTATACACATGCAATTCTTCTAAGCCCTGGAAGTTCAGCTAAAACGTTAAAAGACAGGAATGTGTTTTCTTATTACCATATTTCTCCCCTGCCACGTTTATTGGACATTACTTCACGTTTATTTCGTGCAGTGGTAACAGTGTTATTTTGTTGTTGTTGTTTTCTAAACTGTCTGGAAGGATATTAACTTGTAATAGCCAGAAGTTCTACTGGGACTTGCTCCTGAAAATATCCCTCATTTTCGGATCCTTTATACGTAAACGGTCCAGCTGGATTATGTTTTCTCGTCTACAAGGACACAGCGCCTTGTGGGGAGAAGCGGTGACTATTGCAAGAACTTAGGAGACACAAAGAGTAGAGTCTGTGAACCTGGGCGCTTCCCGCGCCCCCGCGCCCTGCTCTGGTCCAGCGCTGCCTCCTCCTCTCCCGCAGGCCCTTTATGGAACAACGTCAGAAACAGCCACCTGGAGACGCTGCGCAAACTACGTCAACGGGAACATGGAAAATGCTGTGGGCAGGCTGTACGTGGAGGCGGCCTTTGCTGGGGAGAGTAAACACGTGGTAATGTCCTCAGCGAGACGCACTGCCGAACCTGTTTGCGTAGATGGCAGTTACAGTAGGCCATAATTTGGCTAAAATTTTACTAATTGGCAGAGGACCTCTGAATCGCAATTTGCCATTGTTTCCCAATAAATCTCATCCTCCCCACCCCCAGGGTCTGGTTGTGTTTCTGATACTAATATTGTTTAGTGGAAAACCACCTGTCCCGTCCGAGAGGCAGTGGAGTCAGTGTAAGTCGCTTATGAACCCTTCTGTCAGCGAAAGTGAGCAAGAGTCAGTGTTTTCTTAAAAACCCAGAAAGTAACCTCAGGTTAATCATTAGTGTTGCTTATAGCAGTGTTGCTTTAAAAGTATGATTATCCACATGTATCCATTTGTCTATAAATTTACATTTTTAACATATTGTTGAGTTACCTTAAGACAGCTTATAGCTCTATTTTTTAAAATTTGTGTTACAAAAAAGCTAATTAATGGCCTAAATGGTCTTCTTTTCCTCTGGTTTGAGGTTGAGAATTTGATTGCACAGATCCGGGAAGTTTTTATCCAGACTCTAGATGACCTCACTTGGATGGATGCTGAAACGAAGAAGAAAGCAGAAGAAAAGGTAAAGAGGAGGACAGGGTAAACTGTCAAAGAAAAATTTGTTTATGAGAAAAGATTAACTTTTAAGAAAGTTCGGAAAAAAATATAATCAAGGATTGCATAAAATAAAAGCAACCTCCTTCAAAATGTAGTGTTTCCAGGAACAGCGTTCATGGATGAAGATTTTTTTCTATGATTTTCATCTTTTATCAAGTCTTTGCGACCAGCTCCTTCTCTCCGTGTTCAGTGCAAAACTTTGAAAGATCTCCAATTTTCCCTTTTTTTCCAAGGGAGACATCAAAGAATAAGAAGAAAATCTTGTGTGAACAAGTAAATAATTAAAAGATGCTATCATGGTTCATTTTCTTCCTCCTTTATGAAACATATCTGCTGGGCCTCTACCACTGTCTAAAAATATCCCCTTAATTTTTAATGCAAATTTCCAGCTAAGTTTTTTAAAACATGCCCTATTTAGCTTTTTAGATGGCCTAGGGAGAAATAATACTAAATTTCTTTCAGGTAAATGCGAGGTGGTATATTATTTGAGTATTATAAGTTGATCTATAGTTAGAAAGAGGCTGAAGGAGCCTTTTTATAACTATTCCTCTCTACCTCATTGTGCACCTTTGATTAGGACTTTTAATAGCTTGCATAAGAATAACGGTGAGATTTCTAAGGAAATCTTAGGTTTAAATTTAGGGAGATCATTTGTCTTGATAATTATGTAAAAACTAGAAGTAACGTGTCCAGTGGAACTGTACGTGCTTCATGAGCGATATTCACAGGCAGCTTGATTATGCCTTTGTAGTTCTGGCGGCAGGAGGAACAGACAGTGCTTTGACCTGATGCTGGGGTCCATGAACCTATTCTAAGAGCATCAGGCTGAGATCTAGCTCTCTTCCAGGCTCACTCACGTGGGAGGACTGTCTTTTCAGCTCTCACAGAGCCCTGGTGGCTGGGCGAGAATTTAGGCTCCCCCGCGTCGCTGTCTCTCTATCGCTCTGTGTCCTCAGAAGCTCGAGCTGGATTTGCTTCCGGCACGTTCTAACTCTGCGGACGTGTTCTGTAGCCAAGTGGATTGTTCTTGATTGTCATTTCCGAAGGGAGTGTCACAAAACACTGAGCCTGCAGGTTGTTCCATGAAAGTCCCCTGGTCAAGAGCGTTTAGGAGACACTTCCTGCGGGAAGGCTCCCTGACCCAACCCTAGACCAGGCCATGCGCTCCTGGGCTGGGATTTTATGGCCCAGACGTGACCCTTGAGAGTTGGTCCTCATGTCCCTGCCTGTCATTGCTCTGTACGGTCAGCCCTCTGGGGCAGAAATCTTTGCCTGGCGTCGTATCCTCAGCCCCTTATAAAGTGCCTAGCTCGTCGTGGACCCTGAACACATACTGAGTGACTAAGTGGGCAAATTGAGTCTCCTCTTGGACACTTAGAACAACCTAATCTTGAACCTAAGGAGCCCTGCAGTGACGAACCCTGCTTAATGTTTTTGTCACAGCGTTTACCCAAAGTCGTTCACGATAAATTCTTTTTCTGTAGTACCTTTTACTTCTGTAGAGTTCGTGCCCCTTAGAACACCCTCTGGAGAACTCTCTCATGGAAAAGAAAGTGCCATTGAGGGGGCTGATCTGTAATGAGCTTGTGGCTCGAAAACCTGCATGACAATGACCTTGGCCTGAGTGACTCAGTGACACATATCCCGTCTGGTCCACTGAGGAAATCCTGGGCTGAGGAAGCAGATCTGTAATAAAACCCATTTGATGGCAAACACACCTGTTTGATGGCAAACCAAATGACTCAGAGATACAGGCTTAATCCCCTGTGAAAAATTAAACCAGAGCAATGTGCTATCATAGAATCAAAAGTCAGATATCTTTGAGAAATAAAAAAATGGAAGTGGAAATAGCAAGTAGTAAGAATGAAATAATGAAAATAAGTAAAATCAACAATTTTAAAGTAATAAAAAATAGAAATGGTAGTAAGCAAGTGTTAGATAGGAGCTGGTGTCACAGGAAAACTATTTTCCACTCGTTTAATTAATGCCATTCATTTAACTTTGAGAAGATGGGTGCACCGGCTCTGGAGACCAAAGAAAAAGATAAAAACTCGAGGAGCCAATATTCAGGAAAAGTGTTGGCACTAGACCTGCGAGCCCATATCTGTGTTCTCAGCCAGTTCAGTGAGGTGGAAAGATAATTATAAGATGCTAGAATGGGAGCTCTAAATATTAACCCTTCTGTAAAATTGAAGAGGAAAGCTTTCAGAGAAAAAGTCGATAAAGTACAATACACGTGGAACAATGACTTGTCCGTTTTCGTGGAAAGCTGCAGCCTGTGAGAATGGGGCATTGGAACCTAAGTTGCAGGCCTATTTTGTGTTTATTTTGAACCCCAAGAAGAAGCCATTGCAAAGATCTCTAGGTGATGTTGGATATTCTTTTCGTAAACAGTGTAAATCAAGTTATTCGATTGCTAGTCTTGGGCAAATTACAGCGTTTGTGTTTAAAGTTACACAATCATCCTCACATTCAATATTATAATTTTCACAGGCCTTAGCAATTAAAGAAAGGATTGGCTATCCTGACGAAATCATTTCCAATGACAGCAAACTGGATAATGAGTACCTCGAGGTAAATCTGTGAAGACTCTGGAGTAAGATGCCCGGGGCTGGTGGTAATGTCATTACCAACAATGGTTTGCAGAAGTTACGTGAAATGACCTAAAACGTAGGCCTTCTTGTATGAAGCCTTTGACACAGGAACCAGAACTGTTTGTTTCAGTTTCAGCCTTTTTTTTCGTTGGCCCTCTCTGTGCTGAGAAATTTAAGAATTTGTTGCTTTGACTTCCACGTGTGCCGTTTTAAGCGTAGTGAGAGTGACCTTTGCCCTTTGAAGGGCGTCAGGGTGGACACCAGAGCAATGACCAGCAGGGTACCCAGGCTCCTCATCCCATCTGTTCAGGCCTGAAAAGTCGGGTCTCCAGGTTCCCTCCCACCGTCTGCCTGTTCCTCCCCTGGTAAACCAGGTTGTGCCTTCTCCATTTAAAAACCAACAAAACGCACTGTTTGGGAACTGGGAAGTGTTTTATTCTCCTCGGTAATGTGACAGTGCAAAGAGTATTGATTGAAGTCACTACAGCACTCATTGCAGACTCCCTGAGGGTCCTGTTGCTAACCTGTGCTCACCAAGGTGGCCCTGGTGACAGCAGGGCAGTCCTCCCCAGATCTGGGGACAGGGATTCCTGGCCTGACCCGGGGGCTTGCCAGCCAGTGTGCTCGCCTCCCCTTCTCCTGAAGAAAAGCTTGACTGATTATTTTACATGAGCTGCTGCTGCGAGCAAGTGCCGGGGCGCTGGGGGCCGGGGTCTAGTGGTGGAGCGCAGACTCCAAGCCAAGCTGCCTGGGTTCAGATCCCTGCTCCCCACTCGCTCACCTGAGCGAGTGACCGAATTGTCTGTCTCAGTGTCCTCAGTCTTAAAATGGTGATAGCCGCCCATCTTCATGAAATTATGACAAGGATTAGAAGAGTGAAATATATATTCAAGTGCCTAGAACAGCACCTGGCACGTGGTAGGAGGTAGACGAGAATGTGCTGCTGTTGCGTCTGTCATGCAAGGGTTGACATCCACATTATAGGGCTCTGCGGACACTGGGTTTCGTTTGATTAATTATGAAAGAATAGACTGAGGTGGCCATTCGGCTGGAGCAGCCTGAGCTGTGACATAGAGCTGGGCTGGTGGGACTGAACCCTTCTTTGGTGAATTTTAATGCTCTCTGTTACTTTATTAACTGATAGAATTTGAGAAAATATCCCCTATGTTTTTTAGCAAAAATTTTGAAGGCACTGATTTTAACATTTTTCCCCAAATCTTTTATGTAATGTAGTTGAACTACAAGGAAGATGAGTACTTTGAGAACATCATTCAAAACTTGAAGTTCAGCCAAAATAAACAACTGAAGAAGCTTCGAGAAAAGGTGGACAAGGATGAGTACGTATATCCCAGTGTCTCCTGTGTTCCTTCAGAGGAGGGCCTTCTCGCTCCTCTCTGTTGGATTAAGAGAAAGAGCCTGACTTAGAAAACGTTACAAAGGCCCCTCCTTCTTCAGTGAGAGCTCGGAGGGCATCTAAGAGTGTTAGGCTAGAGAGGGCTTGGGGATTTAGCCCGATTTAAAACTTTTCATGAAGGTCCTCAGACTGCCTCATTTCTCTGGTTTCTTCTCGTGTTTCGGCCTGTCCCCCCGACTCTGCTTGTGGACAGGCTCTCAGGAACGCCTTTGCCCTAGGAACCCACAGCTCCTTCAAGTCTTCTCCGAGGCCTTTCTTGCTGTACTCAGAGCTCCTCTGCCCACAGCCACCTGTTTCCTGTCGGTCGGTCACCCCACAAGTCCGTCCCCTCCTAGACTGCTCCGTGTGATGTCTCTTCAACCTGTGGTGGCCACGTAGGAGGCGCCAGGATCACTCCCACTCACAGCCTCCAAACACTCTTAATCTCTGCCTGTTAGTGGGGTTAGCACTTCGTTTGTTAGTTTAAGGTGTATTGTTCAGTTAAAAATGGGCGTGTCTAACATATTGATCAGCGAATGTGTTTGTGCATTTGAGTCCCTAGAATGGCTTATGTTGACTTTTTCCCGCTGAGTTTTAACCTCCTAGAGAACAAGGCTGTTCCTTTTGACCGTTAAAGCCTCGGCCGCAGCACAGTGCTGAACACGTAGAAGGTTTTCAGTTAAAGCTGGATTAACGAGTGAGTGAGCAAGTGAAAAATGCACTAGCTGGACGTGTGTGGCGACTGACACGAAGGCGTGCCAGAGTTCACGCGTGCATCCGTTTATTCTTTCGGTTGTTCATCTGTTAAACTCGTATTTTGGAACACGGACTAAGTCCAGGTGTGGTTGGTACTGGGAGAGTCAAAGGGGACATTTGATTGTGTTCCGTTATGACAGCAGAAGACAGGAAGGACATGGTGTAGTCAACTACCCCCCGCAGGGAAGTGTGCCGGGAAAGGTACAAAGTGTGTGGGACCGGTTGATGGCGGGACTGTCCTGTTCTCAGCAAACCGAGTACAGGCGGGACAGAACTCCCAAATGGAAATGCCCGTACATTTCAGTTCTCACACCGCGTTTTGAACCCTTCAGGCACCCTGAGGGGGAGACCGCTTTCTTTTGCTGACCCCTGGGTTTGTGCCTCAGTAAACGTCTTGTCTGGTGCTAAACGGGCTGCAAGTGTCAGAAAAGGTTCATGTCCCAGCCGCCATGTGGGTGATGTCATAGTTGGTTGTTAAATCCTGTCTCTGGAACCCCATAAAAAGTCATCAAAAAGAATACTCTGTGGGCAGATGTATAATCTGGGAAGTTTCTTACAAGTCTGAATATTTTTATTTCTTTAAAAATACTTACACTTAATAATTGTTAGCACCGTGTAATTTATCTACAAACATTCCCAGATATTCTTCCTCAAAATGGTTAATATAACCAGCATCCACATCACCCCAGAAGATTTCTTCGTAATTTTAAAAATAGCTTGACGTTTCCTTTTGAAGTTGCTGTGGTCCCCGTTCCATATCGTTTTGTAATATAGTTTGCGCCTTTCATTCCCTTTCCTCATACATGTCAATTTTCTCCGAGTCCCTTTCTCGTTACGACGGATAATCGAAGCCAGAATTGTACACGATATTTTTGTGACATGTGGTCGATGGCTCCCATGGCTCAGGGGTACTTTTTGGATCCTTTCTGTCAGCGTCTGCTCCTCGGTCCCAGTGCGATGTGACTTGTGAGGTCCTCTGCTGCCAGGCTGGGTTCCTTCCCCGTCTCCTGCCTGTAGGCTGAGTGCAGGGTTCAGACTCCGCCTGCACAGTCAGGGCACCTGGGCAGCGTTAGTGCTGGTGCTGACTGCTGGCTCCACCCGCGAGGGTCATGTCCTTCCTGTGGGTGTGGACCCAGGCCCTGGTGTCCCCTCCTTGAGCGAGAACCCCTGAGTTAGTGCTAGTTCCTTTTTGTATTGAATCACACTTGTTCACATTTAATTTTGTGAAATTTTTTATAAGACAGTGCCCTTAATTTGGCAATTAGGTTTAAAGTTTAAACTTTCCAAAATACCAGGAGCACTTTTGACAGTGATTGCATCGAATCATGAGGACAACACCGCACAGGACACAGCATCCTAAAAGTTCCTCAGGTTTTATGGAGGTTTCCTGCATGAAAGTTTCTGACTTATGCTGCATCTCCTTAACAGTCATGAGTCACTACTCCGTTTCCTTCCTTTTTATGTAACATCAAGTTCAGGTCCTCACAGTGTGTGTTTAGGCAGATCACATCCCCACTTCTGCTTTGTTCACATGGCCTGTAGCTACCTCTCGGTGAATTACATTTTCAGATGCTTAAGATCCTCACTCCCAAGGTCTGGTAGGAAAAATAGGTATCCATGCCCAAAACTGATGGGCTAGAAATGAGAAAAACTATTGATCAGAGTAGGGTTATATTGTAAGGTATTGAGAAAAATGAGAAGGCATTAGATTTTCAAGGGAGCAATTAATTTAAATAAATTCAGTCAATTAACCAAATAGTAAGCTTCTAGACCTTTTCCTTTCTCACGCCACATGCTCTCGCTGGACAAGCCGTCCACTGCGTGGCATCTTCTACAGTCGTCATGACCACTGAACGCTTGTACCTGGCCCAGGTCAGTTTTCTGAGCTCCACACCCAGATGTCTAGCTGCCTGTGAAACATCCCACATGGGTGGTCCATCTCCCTGCAAACACAGCATTTGCCATTCCCCCGTATTTTCCAACAACTTCCATCTTATTGCTACCGAGACAGAAACCAGGGCCTCATCTTATCATCCTAGACTAGTCTCTTCCTCTCATCTCTGACACCTACCATGCATGATATCTACTTCAAATCCTCGTCCAAAAGGAAAAAGCTTACATCCACCGGCTGCTACAGAAATGTCACGCAGGTGGCAAATGGAAGGACGAAACTAATCTTACCGTCCCCATGGTCACTGCCCTAATTCAAATATTTCTCATCGTTCACCAGTTATTACAGCCTTTTCCCTAATCTTGTCGCCATTGGTCTCACGTTCCTTCAGTGTATTCTCCATACTGCAGCCCTGAAGAGCTTTTAAAGGCACAGATTGAGTTATGTTATTCCCTGATGAAAACATTTTGGTGCACCCGTGTTGCCCGTCTCCCGGGGCATGTGCAGGTTCTGCACACCTCCCGTAGCTCTCGAGAACTCCTGTAGACCCTGCCACCCTGCAGCAAAGCTCCGGCCGTGAGGACTACTTCCGTGTCTTTGCTCCGTCTTCTCCTCCTCCTCACCTCTCTCCTGGACCACCCTCTCTGCCCTTGTTCATCTAACAGAAACCTTCACGTGGTCCGTCTGAACTCGAGCGTCCCTCGTTCCTCGTGGCACCCATCACACCTTCCGCTTCACCTGGTGCCTGCACTCTACCCTACACACATTTCAGTCTTTAGCTGAACGAGCCCTGGTTGAAAGAAGAAACCATGTAATTGTGTCACCAGAGCTTGCATGTTGATGGACAGAATGTAGACCCCTCCTAAATGTTTATGGAGTGAATAAACGACAGAAGAGCCAGTTTGTAATAATACCAGTAAAGTTAACTCAGCCAGTAAGGTAAAAATTGCCACGTCCAAGCATTTCACCATCAAGGTTGGTGAAATCTCTGTCCCTCTCTCTGTTTAGCAAACTGAAAATTTGAGGAAGTCAGGGCCTGAGTCAATCATTGGCTGAAAGCACCCCTGTCTGCCCATTTGAGCAGAGGACAAGGGGTTAAATTTAAAAAGGTCTTGGTTCCTGTGGTTTCTGAGTGCCTAGCATGTGTTTCCAAAATTACCTCAAACATTATGTTCTTTGGGATTTGGTGCCAGTTTTTAAAGAATTTCAAACGTCATGTTATCAGATGGAATAAGACCAAATTGACAATGTACTATCCAATGGCAAGATTACTTAGATACGTATCTGAAATAATTTACTTCTGGCAACACGGTTACTCACGTAGAGTCCGTAGAACAAACTTAAACCTCCAAAGAGATCAATGTACAAGAGCCAAATGAAATGAATTCCTTTTCTTGTTTTTAGACTTGGTGTCACGTCGTCAGTTTCTCGGGACAGGACTTTCCTAACACAGTTGACAGGTGGTGCCGTTGTTTGTAAGTCATGACCTTTGAGCTTGGAGTTGCTTTTCATAAAACACAAAGACTAATTTCATTGTGCATCCTTCTTGCTGTTATGCGTCAAAATAACGACACCCTGACACTGACAGCAGCCAATTCACTAAGCGTTTTTCTGAGCATCTCGAACGTGCGGAGCACTGTGCAAAGACCACCTAGAGGGTGGAGGCGAGTAGGATGTGGCCCTCGACGGGGAGTTCACAACCCAGTGAAGGAGGCGGGTGAGTAACAGTTAAGTCTCTGGAAGGCAGAGTTTGGTTGCTGCTACTACGAGGAAACAAAGAGCTCGGACAGCACTGTTTTTAAAACCACCATTCAACCTTCACTTATTAACAAAACGTTCTCTGGAAGCAGCATGTCAGTATTTAAATTAATATTGAGAGCAGAGGATCCAAACAGGACGGTTGGTTCATTCCTGTTTCCCCCTCGTTGCCTCCAGCCGTCTGTTCTCAGCCTGGGCTGACGGGTGTGGAAGCCCCTGGAGCAAGTGGGGCTGCTGACAGCTGTGGCTCTGTGTGGTCCCCCCCAAAAAGGCCCCACCTCCAGACGTGGCAGGGAGCTCGGACCCTGTGAAGTGACACCATGATTTTGCCAGCACAGTGAGTCACCGCGTCTCGGGGTCCCCGTTCTTCCAGTCACTCCCTGTGGCCTCTGACGAGCCGGGCAGTTTCCTTATCCATAAAACGACCAAGGTTCTTTCTGGCATCAAAATTCTACGGCCCTCACTGTGAAGCTTTGAGCAGAGCCAGGACGGGTTCCTCCCTGGTGGCCACGTCAGGTGGCCCAAGAGAAAGAGCATGC